AATTAACTAAGAAAACCTATTCTCATTTTCTCATGAATGATTCTGCCATTTGAAATCTTATATACATATAGCTGATTTGATTTTACTTTGTTCAACTACGTTTTTATTTTAGAATATTTAGATACACAAACAAAGATAAATATACGAAAAAGAAATGATATGATCATACACAAAACAAAATGACAATACGATAAATTCTGTTTAATATCTATTTTAGTTTTGTCTCTAGAAGATTGTTGTAGTTATTTAAAGAATTACTCAAATTATGTGACATTATTCACAGTCGCATTTGATACAAAACGATGTAAGATTTGCTTTTGAATTAGTTGCTTGAATTCATGTCTGAATAATGGTGATGATAAAGTATATACAAAAAATGTTAAAGAAAATTCCAGATAAATAAACATATAAGTCATATTATTTACAAATGTTTCAACTGTTACCCGAAGAGATGATTTTGTGTCATTTATTGTTATTGTTTCATAAAGAAGGACACAAGGATTAATAATATTTAAAAAAGTCCAAAGCAATATTTGATTAAATAACATTTTAGAATATTGTAAATCTTTTCCTGACATTCCAGTAAATATTGCAGGTCGAACAGCATCAACTACTGCCAATGGTCTTATTCTACGTTTGCTTTGCCGAATATTTTTGATGGTGAGATATCCAAAAATAAGCATTATCAATGGTGGTAATATTCCACTTTCTATCGACAGATAGATGCTGAAGAAAATTCCATAAACATCATATCTATATGAGCAGATATCATCTTGAATTTCATAGAAGACAAGAACCTGAATATACATTATACACCAAAATATAAAACTACCAATAATTAATCGTATGGAGATCTTTGATGAACTCCATTGACGCCAATAAATATCAGAACAACTGGCAAAATAACGGTCGACCGATGCCAAAATTATATAATAACGTGGAACAGCAACAAAAACATAGAACAAATAATAGCGGATTTTACAATACCAAAGGATAATATTAATTGTATTGGTATTGAAACCATTCTGAAGTATTCTTGTGAGAAGAGCGAAATTGAAAGTAATGAATTGCGAAGTACTAGAGGCTAGAAAATACATGACACATGGATTCTTGCGAAATTTTCGTTGACAAAAGATAAAACAATTGACAGTTGATCCAAAATTTCCCATAAGCCAAATAACACCCATAGCATACCTTGACATATTCTTATTAAGAAGAACAACAACGTTACACCAATATTTCTCATAATCATTAGTACCACAATCAGTGTCGTTTGACATTTGCAATGACTATGCTTATAAAATTTCAACACAAAGTAAATATTAAGCAAGTTGATCTAAGGGATTATTGAGTTATAATTATTCTGGCATTTTGTTTAAAAAAAAAATTTCTTTATATAGAATTAATTTCATTCAAATGACGTCAATTTACTTCAAAAAAGATAAAGAATGTAATAAAACATTCAAGACAGGAAACACAAATTTTACAGTTGACTTTCGACAACTGACGAAAGTGCAATAAAAATACAGCTTTTGGAAATGGCCAATTATCTGGATTAAGTAGTAATTCCACTAATGAATGATGTTTGCAAAGTCGCATTTTCGGCAATGAATGATTCATTTTTTGTTAGAAAGACATAGCAATTAGCAAAATATCGGATTTCAGTGCAAAACCCAAAAATTCTAGACTGATTTATTTAAATATTATGTTTGATATAATGTCTGTTAAGACAGTCGTCTGAAAAATATAGATGGCAAGAAAGACAAGCAGTATAAGATTACTGTGCAGGTTGAACTTTTTGAACCCGTACTCGATCCGACAAAGTTCAACCCAATACCGCATTCGACTGGAGAAATAGCATTTATTTGTTTTCAAAAGATGGATCACTTTAATTCTATGTTTAGCATATAAAAGAATATATAAAATTTATGAAACTAATAGACACACATGAAAACATGTATGGGTGCGTGTGTGTGGTATGAGAAGAGTCACATTCACATCCATACTCACACATTTTGAACCAAAGTCTGAACAACGATAACAACAACAAAAAATATTAAGATATGAAAAAAAAGTATTTGTTTTTTGATGAACAAAAAAATTTTGCACGCATGTTTTAATATATTGTCTTGAGCACCAACTAATAGACTTATACTTTACTGTTCTTTGTATATAACATATAATAAACAACAGAAGACAGAAATATATTTTATGAACAAATAGAACCCTACAAATTAAAAATCAAATACGAGCCTGATCTGACCCAACAACGTTCAACCGAACCTGCCTGAGAGACGAGTTGCAGGGCTCTACTGCGTGGAAAAATTTTTATCCTTAGACATTTGACGATGTCAAATTATATATTAGAAAAAAGTCCAATAATTGATGAATAAATTGCTGATAGTCCAATGATGACCTTTTTAATTAAAAGATGATGCGCAAAATTTGTTATAACACTTCCAGCAATTGCCAAAAGACATGCCATACATTTGAGTTTCGTCCTTGACAAACATGCTCTGCGTAGTTTTGTGTAGCATGACATTTAAATGTTGTATGGCATGACGTTTGGCAATTCCTAAAAATCAATTGTGGAAGTCAGTACTGCAAAATTCATTCTATCCTTCATGACGCAAATATATTCATCAAATTTTTCAAACTCTGTCAAAGTAATATATTTATCAAGCAAAACATAGAACTGTTGACGAGAAAATGATTCTTCTGTTTACATTTAATAGCTTCACTAGATAACAGAATTTTTTTTACCAGATTTGAACTTTTATCATCAAAATATGTGAATAAAAATTCGATTGTCTAAAGAAACTATTTATTAATTTTCATTTGACTAGACACAGGACACAATCTATGAAATGAATTCATCTTAGTTGAATGAATAGATGAGGAAACAAGAAAGAATTATCATCATGTATTCAATACAATTCATCGATTCGTGTCTCGAATTTTGTTCATAGTTTTGAGGGACAATTAATAAAAACGAAATACTCATGATTCTTATGCAGAATTTCGAGATTCAAGCGTAAATAATGATTCTTCTTTGGAACGCATTTCAAATACGTAATTTCTTATGCCTATGGGATGTCCCGTAAGTCATTAGACAAAGAAAGCCTTGAATATCTCCGCCCATGTTTTGCATAATGGGCTGGTATTTTTATCATTCATCGATTAATATTTATAGCTCATATCAATAAGAGAAGCGTCAGCAAAAAATTGTTTTGAAGTATAACCACTGTCTTCAACGAAGAACTATAACCTTCCATAGATTATTAAAAACAATATTGTAATTTTCTCAACAACTTCATTATGTTTAGATCTGAAAATCTCAGCGCACAAAGACTAGCAAGGCATGTATCTGTGGCATAAATATGAGGTCAAACGGCATTAGTGTGAACAAGTAATTGGAAGAATTGGGTGTTCCATTTATTTTTGGATGGACAATAAATATATTGTTTTTCATAATCCGTGAAAGATTATAGTTCTTTGTTGAAGATAATTGTAATACTTCAAAACGGTTTTTGCTGACGCTTCTCTTATGAATATGAGCTATAAATAGTATAATCTATGAATGATAAAAATATCAACCCATTATGTCAAAATATAGGCGAAGATATGCAAGATTTTCTTTGTCTAATGACTTACGGGACATCCTATATAATCAGGAGTGTGACTATATTTTTACGATAAGAATGAATATTCTCTAAATTCTGAAACAATATGCGCAATCATATACGGCTACCTTAAAATACTATTATCACAAGATCTTCTAGAATATAATCATCCACTATCAATCATTGTTTTAAATTGTCTTTGTCTAATTACGCATATCATATTATATCGCTGTACGTAGTTCGATACTGATTTATTGTAAACAAGAAACAGAGTAGAACTATTTCTTATAACTTTTAATGTATTTCAATGATGCGATAAAAAAGTCCATATTAAAGTCGTGAATGGTGTAATTTTATTAATTTTTAAGATAATTACGGATATGTGCATGAGCTATCTCTCTGATTTAATTGCAGAAAGAACGAAAATGAGTAAAAATAGTATTAACTTCAATTAAGTAAAGTTAGTTCTATAATCCTGTATGTCAATCGACTATTATCAAGGACATTTGTGTTAAACAATCAATAATTAAATAAAAGCCAAAAAATGCATAGTGTGGGTGTGGATGAAGAGAGAAATTACACCCACCCACACCCACACTCACACCCACACCCACACCCACACCCACACTCACACCCACACCCACACCCACACCCACACCCACCCCACACACACACCCACACCTCACACTCACACCCGCCCACACCCACACCCCACCCACCCCCACACCCACCCACACCCACACCCCACACCCACCCACACCCGAGTAGCCATTAGCACATTAGTAGCCCTCTCAATAGGGTGGTATGTCATCTGAGGGCGTGCAAATAGGAATCAATTAATGAAAAAAAGAGGGTGTGGGTGTGGGTGAGGTGTGGGTATGGATGGGTGTGGGTGTCGAGAGTGGGTCTTTTCTTAACGCACTCACACTCATGCTCACAGCCCAATACCCACACCCACACTCACACTCACGCCCACACCCACCCACATTCACACCACACACCACCATCCACCCACACCCACACGCACACCACACCC